TTGAGATTTTTGATGCCTAAATGATAGCAAACAAGATAGCATAAATAATTGTTATCTTTTTGATATAAATTTGAGCAAAAGATTGCATTTTAGATATTCAAAAAATAATAACACTGAGCTAGAATGATGACACAAACACAATTTATCATCATTTGAGTGATGATACAAATACAAATTTATACCCACTATGCCAAAATGATATTCTTTTTGATATGAATTTGGGTAAATAAATAATTTTTATTAAACTGTCGATGCAAATGCTAAATTATATGCAAAATGGATATGGGTAACTCAAAAGTGTCTCAGAACTCCCCTTTTATGTCTACTAAAGATTCCAAGGTGAAGCACTTTTTTGATTTTTGGAATTATGCTGGCTGTTTATGAGAATTTTTTAAAAAAGTTCTAAATTCTAAGAAACTTGTCTTGTTAATATGCTTCTTTTCTTAATTTCTCAAGAATACTATTATCCTGTACTGATGTATTAAAATTTATTGTATCAGATAAATAAAGTAAAGATGATATCAAATAAAGTAAAATTAATGTCTTAAATTGATTAATATATAAATTGATTAGGCTTGAAGAAGCTGTTGTTATACCTGCAATTGACCTCTTAACACAACTCAGAGAACTAATTAGCTAATCAACAAGACTAGCTTTATTGGGATTTGGTGAGGCAAAAAGGCATCAATAAATAACTTATTCAAAGAGGTTTGATAAGGTTTTATCAAAAGAGGCAGCAACTCAATTATATATGAAGATATGAAGAGTTGAAAACAACTCAACAAATAATAATTTATAATATTATGTGAATTCAATTATTAGAATTCTTAATGATCTACCTTGGAGTTTCTGTATATAAAAACACAAAAATATTTTATTAAATAAATCTATACATTTTTATATAAAACAGAAACAGAATATAACAAAGAAAAATAATATATGAAAATAGTTATAGATATTCAAAGCTATTTATTAAGAGAAATATATATATAAAGATATATAAATATTAAAGAGAATTGAAGTCTAAAAAATTAGAATAAGGCAAAATCATTGGTCTTTAAATATCTAACATGACAACATATTTAATTACAATGGAGAGTTGATGGGACAACAACAATCTTTCTATCAATCTTCATTCCTACTACAAATTTTTTTTATCACCAAGTTTTTTATTAATTACACTAACATTCACCTGCTTGTACTTTATTATCTAATTACATCTTCACTTACCAACAATCATAACTTCACCCCTTTAGCTGCTTTCTTCTATATTCAAATGCTTTATGCTCATTATTTTGGATAGCACAAGCTGTACATGCCTTTTCTAGCAGATTTAAATAGTAATAATGCCAGTTGAGTATTAAGATCATTCTGCAGAAACAGCTATAGACCCTTTTCTAGGCTGTTATTGATATTGTGTCACACGTCATTTATAATCTTCACATTGCTAGTATGAAGATTAATATAGCAGCTGGGAAAGCGATCTTCATAGGAGTACTTGCAGGGATGAATACTTAATATTGTTAGCTGGGAAAACTAAAGACTGAAGTAATAGGCTAAGGCTAAACTAAACTAAAAACTAACACTCAACAACAATCAAGACAATGTATCAAAAGAGGTATTTAGATTTAGATGGTGGAATGGTTTTAAGGCTTCGGTCATCCTTCGAACAATATCATGTGATGGTTGACACTGAATCAATAACTAATCCTCTGAAACCAACCCACAAAGAAATCAAGTATCCACAACCTTAGGGATACAACACAATGATTTCAACAACAATGCAGTAAGTTAGTCCAACGAAACAAGAGATTTTGCCTTGATGTAGGTAAAATCAGGCAGTGCAACAATATAGTTTTTATCAAAGAAACAAGCAACAAAGATCCTCTTTTAATTATAGGATCAGTTTAGAGAATTAGCAAATTTATTATCAATGTAATATGTTTAAGTCAATGATTTCTTATTTGTATCGATTGAACAATGTTTTTCCAACTGGACAAAAGGCCCTTTATTTATAGACAAATTTTACATATGGCGAAGCAACATAATTTAATAAAGTAAACTAATAAAACCCTTTAATTGTATATAACCCAGAAATCTTCTAAATTAATTATATCGCTGAAATCTTTTTAAACCAATTAATGTCTTAAATTACCGAAATCGCTTATCTTTCATTAATGCATTATCTTTAAGAAATGCAGCAAATACAATAAGTACAATAAGTACTAGAAGGGTAATAAATGCAGTAAAGATGAAAACCGATCATCAAGGCTGCGGCTCATACACGTGAGGTCAGCCGAAATCGACGAAAATTAAACTTCCGACGATCGAATTTTCCCGGGTTACAATATTCCGTGCATGCTGATCGATCACATGAAGAAGGGTAGGCCAATATCCCAGGTACCACCGTTTTAATTTTAATTGAATGTTCGTCAATGGTAGATTGATTTAAATATTTGTTATCAAGTTGATTTAAAGTATTGAGGATTAATTTCGTCTCTGGGCGATTAATAGGATTCTTATCCCAACATTGTTTATAAAGTTTAATATATTGTAGTGGTGTGCCTTCGATAGGTTCTTCTCTTTTCCCTTGCGATATCGAAATAATTGTCATATATATATCAAAGAATTCGAATAGTGGTCTACCACTTGAAATTTCCCAGAGGATTATTCCAAAACTATAGACATTAGATTTCTTATCACGTTTATATCCAGGGACAATAAAGCATTGCAGTTCAGTATAAGCAAACATTCCATGAGCAATCGAATTTGAATTCATTATGGATGTTTCATTTATCTGTTTTGATAATCCAAAATCTGCAATCTTTGGTTTTTTTGATGAATTAAAATATTCTTCGAATGCTATATTATTAAAATATTAATTAATTAAACTTCTATAATAAAATCCAGTAAAATATTTTTATCACTTACGAGATCTCTATGAACAATATAAATGACTTTCCACTAGAAAAACAAGATAATAACAGTTCCAGTGGAATTTCGGAAGCTCCAACACACTTCAATTCAAAATGAACATCCCCCGAAGGTTACTCAACCCGCCGCCGAAAACAACAATGATTCTGATGAGTCAGCTTCGGATGAAGAATCTGAAAGTGAGTATAAAGAAGAAGAGCTAGAGGAAAGACTCTTCAGTTTTTTAGAAGAAGAAAAGCAACGGCCTGGTAATTATTATAAAAATTAAGCAACTCCGAGAAATGAAGATTCAAATGATGAATCGGTGGTCTCCCAATATAATGAACAACCCAAAGGTGTAGAGTCACATAAAGCATATGGAACCTGTGCAGTGATGATAATTACGGACGAGAAGAGGATGAAGACCTCTTTGATTCCGATAATGGTTCCTCTGGAAATGAAGACGAGCTCACTGACTCGGAAAATGATGAAGGAATTTTATCTCAATGAACAAGAAGAGCCCTCCTATGAGTTGGATATAGGAAAGCTTGATGATGACAACCATGATAAGATAGAGAAGTTATTAATGGGTTATAGTAACCTTTTTGCATGGATGCCCCAAAATCTGGAACAGACCAGCCTTGTAACTCATGCCATCCAAACTGATAATGCCCAACCCATACGACAACGATACTACCGGACCACCCCAAAAGAAAAAGAATTTCTTCAGGAAGAAATTAGTTGTATGTTGAATAATGAAATTATTTAACCTTCTAAGGGCCTGTGGGCCTCCCCTATAGTATTGGTTAAGCAGAAAGACAAAACCTGATTCTGTATAAATTATCGACGCCTAAATGCAGTCACCAAAAAGGATAGTTATCTTTTACTCCGTATTGATGACCTTCCAGATATCCTTCAATTTTCTTGCTGGTATACTTCCCTAGATTTGGCTAGTGGATACTGGCAAATTGAGATGAACCCAACTGATAAAGAAAAAACTGCCTTCATTTCTCAATTCAGAACTTTTGAGTTCAACGTAATACCTTTCGGCCTCACTAACGCCCCAGCAACTTTCCAAAAGTTGATGGATAGAATTTTTAATAATATAATCAGCCAATACGTGGTCGTGTATTTAGACGACCTTAATGTTTTTTCTCGATCCTTTGACGAGCATATTGTCTACCTGGCTGAAGTTCTTAATCGTCTTTGATTGGCTGGCTTGAAGCTAAACTACAAGAAATGCCACTTCGCCAAAAGGGAACTCAAGTTCCTAGGGTATATAGTTAATGCCGATAGAGTCTCCACAGACCCTTAAAAAGTAAAGGCTGTCAAAACTTTTCCTACCCCGACCAATCTTAGACAACTATGCGAATTTATAGAATTGGCCTCTTATTATCGCCGGTTTATAAAAGACTTTTCAAGTGTGGTGGCTCCACTCAACTTATTGTTAAAAAAGAACGCTAAGTATTCATAGACTGGCGTACAAGAGAAAGCTTTTTCAACCCTTAAAGAAAAATTAATTACTGCCCCAATCCTGGCCTATTCCGACTTTGATAAAGTATTTATACTCTTTACGGACGCCTCTGAGACTGCTCTAGAGGCTATACTCTCCCAAAAAGACTCTCAAGATAAAGAAAGAGTTATTCATTATGCTAGTCGATCTTTAACTCCTGCCGAGAAAAATTACTCGGTGACTGAGCAAGAGTGTCTTGCTGTTATATGGGCCATCACATATTTCTGCCAATATCTTCATGGAAGTCGCTTTACCTTAGTGACAGACCATTCAGCCCTTAAGTCATTGCTGAAAAATACTTTACCAAGAGGACGTCTAGCCCGTTAGATTTTATCACTACAGGAGTATGACTTTGTTGTGGTCTATCGGCCTGAAAAGCAGCACTCCAATACTGATAGTCTTTTCCGATTAATTTCATCTAACTCTCCATCCGAGTATCATCATTGTCCACATTGTCTTGCTCCCTGTACTTCAAAAACTACCTCTTTTATTAACCAAAACCCTATGCTATACTTGCAATTTTGCCGATCAAAAATTGACAACACCCCCTATTTCATAACTAGATTATTATACCCATTTCTTATTTTATTCCTTGTTCTGACCTCTTTTATAAACTTAAACATGGAACCAACACAATATCGAAGATATATCAAGTTTCTCAGTAACTCTAGTTATTCCACATCTTTAAAAATTGAAGAATATAGATTATTAAAACAACAGACCTGCCACTTCACCATTATCAACAAAATTTTATATAAAAGACACCGACTTCTGCCACATAGACTTCTTCAAGTCTTATTGCCCCATGAAGCTAAACCAATTCTTTTCAGCATACATTCGGACCCATTATCAGGATATTTCAATGTCCTCTCAACCCTACAAATGATCTCTATTTGATATTTTTGGCCCCAGATGGGCAAAGATGTAAGACAATACGTCCAGTTATGTGATGTTTGTCAATAAAGAGGCAGACCCAAGTCTCGAGAACCATTATACCCTATTAAGCTAGGGCAGCCTTTCGGCAGAGTTAGGATTGACATTGTTGGTCCCCTGACTTCCTAAATCCGGCAACAAGTATATTGTAGTTGCCACAGAATACCTTACTAGATAGCCGGAAGCACGTGCCTTGTCAAATACTTCAGCTTCATCGGTGGCTTCGTTCTTTATAGAAGATATTATTTGTCACCACGGAAGTTTTCGAGAACTCCTTTCTGATTAAGAAAAGCATTTTGACAATCATCTAGTAAAAGCTATCTGTACCCAACTACAGGTGCACTATCGATTTTCATCAAGTTACCATCTACAGACTAATGGATTGGTGGAACATTTCAACCACACTCTCTGTGAAGTCTTAGCTAAATGCTCAATCCAGTTCTCCAGTGATTGGGATTGATATTTGTCCCCAGCTCTCTTCACATATAGGACCACAAAACATTCCATTACCCGATATGAGCCTTTTTATCTCTTGTATAGAAGAGAAGCCATCTCCTGGAAGAAGTTAATATTTTAGACTCTAAAATTCTCCTGGCTAATGATCAAGAACTCATGAATAATATTATGGGAAGAATTAATATGTTGTTAGGAGATTTGCCTGTGGCGCAAAGGGAAGCCAGAGAAAAGACTACTAAGGCCCAACAGTGACAAAAAGACCGTCATGATCAATAGTTCATAATAAAGAGTTATTCCATTGAAGATAAGGTCCTTAGGTTTTGTTCAAACTCACAAGGGAAAATTGGAAGAAAGATAGGAAGGTCCCTTTTTTATTCACGACGTTCTTGGAAAAGGTGCTTACAAACTTAGGACCCTTGATGACAAGGTTGTAAAACAAAGGGCCTATGAGAATCGTCTAAAACGGTATTATGATTAGCCTGAAGGTGATTCAGAACCAGATCGTCCCTCGCAGGAGCTCAGAAATTCAGAAAGAGAGTTTGTTACTCCCATCACCTGACTAATTTTTTTTTGTTTCCTTTTTCAGTTTGGCTTTGTTGCCACTGATCTATACTTTATTTATTAAACCTATATATTAGTTATCCATTTCCTTATTTGTATTTTCTATATATATCAATCATTATTACTATATTTGGTAAGTCAAGCTTAGAAGTCTATAGTAGTGCGATATTATTAATACGATCGACATCGATTGTCGAAATGGTCTGGTACGAGCCTATGTCTCACTGACTTGTACGGCAAAACGAATTTCCAAAACTTGGTCTAACAGTTTTGTGAAAAGACCAATGAAGCATCTTTCACTAGGGATGGGCAAAATGGCATTTTTCCCTACCATGCATGCGCATGGTATGCTGCATACATGCATGCATGCATGCATA